GAGGAGATCCTCAAACCATTTTTAAGATGTATTTTTTTGTTGTTTGTTCTGAAACAGAATCTAGTTATGTTGCCCAGCCTGGAGTGCAGTGGTGGGATCATAGCTCACTGCAGCCTTGAACTCCTGGGCTCAAACAATCCTCTCACCTCAGTCCCCCCGAATAGCTAGGACCACAGGCACACACTAACACACTTGGGTACTTTAAAAAATATTTGTAGAGGTTGGGTCTCACTATGTTGCCCAGGCTGGTCTCAAACTCCTGGCCTCAAGTGATCCTTCCGCCTCAGTCTCCCAAAATGTTGGGATTACAGGTGTGAGCAGCCACCTCTGGACTGTTTTAAAGATTTTTTAAAAGCCTAGAATAAAAGTGTACCTTTACTCCCTAACTAGGCTGCATAAGCTAACACAACTTAAGAACTCTAGATTTGGCGAGCAGTATATCAAATTCGGGGAGATGTCACTGGTTATCTAAGGTTGTTCAGATACGCAAACAGAGAGGAATAGTAATAGATGACTGAACAAGAGAAAAAAAGAACTATAATAGGCTCAGTTTTCATGATGAACAACCAGAGGTTGTATTGAGAAAAAGAAAGTTAAGAAAGTGTTGAATGAAAAAAGGTTTAAGAACCATCCTTCATGAAAATAAGTTCTTAAAGGAAACAAAATTGATGTGTTATCTCACATAGACTTATTTCCAGGGTTTGAGGAAGAAGTTGGGATCTGGGGAGACCAGGGTTGGAGAAACTGACAAGCTTGGCAAGGCTAAATCCAAAGACAGTGGCCAACAGTCCACTGCCAGTGGCTAGAGGCGTGCAGCCACCTCCGGCTTGACTCTAGTGAGCACCGGTATTGGAGCAGTGCTATGACCGTGCACAGCACCAGGCAGCAGCACTGGCACATGTGACAATGGCAGTCAGGATGAGTGACAGCATGTCAGATGCTCAGTCTTCCGGGGAAAAGACCCACGTCTGGGTAGTGTCAGGAGTCTGGCCAAATGACCCGGTGTTCAGGACCGGCCTCGACTCCCGCTGGGAACTGGAGAGAAAGCCACAGCTGAAGCCCTGGCAAATGGAATTAAGCAACACCATGCAGTGGGGGGTAACTGCACTGTCTGTGGGCTCCTGAATGTCAAGGATGACACTTCTGCTACCACCAAGTCACTATCATCTGTGGTCAGGACCTCACATCTGTCCCAGTGACTGAGCGAGCATAGGGAAGAATAAGGACATCATCCAAACCTTGAATTTATCTATTCCTGATTTCACAACAAAATCTTCAGTCCTCATTTTAAGTTACACTCAAACATAGTGAGCTCCACAAATAAAATGCTGTAATTGTTTCTCAACAAAATAAATAAGAGCATAAGCATATACCCCTTTTCAGTTGGGTTTTGACAACATCTTTTCATGTGTCCCACAAAAATGAAATGCTATTTACACTAGAATATTATCTGTTCCAAATATACTGAAAGTATTTTTAATTTATCATCAAACTACCCAGAATAAAATAAGGCAGAAGATAAAAGCTACCTTTCAGCTGGATTTGAAATATGATATTATTCACATTTTCAATTTTGCTCTCTGAGGGCAGAATCTAAAGATGAATTCATTTTGGTGATAAATGAAAAGTATGATTTTCAATGATCTCTATGTTTTAGGGTTATCCATATTACAAAACAAAGATCAAGTATGATAAGAAAAATTCTTTCATGTCACCACAATCTATCAAAATATGGTAAACATCCTTTGACAACCTCTGAAGACCATGTGCGTGCATGTACAGGACTGTTCTATCTCTGTATTAGCGCATTGCCTAGCATTGCCGGTTGAACAACGGGTAAAGTGCTGGTTTTCCCACACTGCTCTGCAGAACTCTTAACTGCCTGCTGCCAAGGGAAAAAGGAATGGAATAAGGAAGCAATAAGCAGATTATATTGTTTTCTTCTCTAATAGAGCTTATCTTAAACTTCATGTGCAATTTAACCAAATAAGGGTTGTGTATAGGAGAAGAATAGTAAATTTCAGAAGAAAAGATTTTTTTCTCCATCCATCTAGCCTATATTATTATATACCTATAGTAGTAATTCTATATCTCATAATAACAATTTTTTAAAAATCTCTAGCTTGCAAGGTGACTATGGTTATAACTGCAAAATGATTGCAATACTATTTTACCTAACATTTCTTGAGTGTTAAAAAAAAGTTCTAGAGTTTTTACTGAAGTGTGTTATCTGCACAAATTGCTTTGTATTGAGAGAACTCTAAGAATGGGAACACGATTGACTTTCTCCCATGTCCCATTTCCCACACAGACGGGCCCTGATTCTTTCTGCCATCAAAGCATGCACCATATGTTCATCAGTATAGACCAGGTTACCCCATGGAAGCTCAGAAGTCCTCCGCGGAAGCATTTATTGGGTGCAACCATAATTAACTACTCAGGGTGGGGAGAGGAAAACCTGAGAATCCATTTTAACCTTGATATGTGAAACTTGAGTACCTGAAATGTTTTGCACATATCAAAAAACAAACTTTACATAAAAGCACTGTACAAATACACATTTTATGTTGTGAAATCGTTCATTAATAGAAATCAGACAGCTAATGTTCATATCGTATTTTTCAGACTGGCTAAACACTCAGTTTATCACTGTGTGCTCCGCTGTGGGTAGCACGTGTGCTGTTCCCACCGAATGACACAGATTTCAAAAAATAAGTATGATTAATTAGAGACATTAAATGACTGATGTGCAAAGTTCCTCTAGCAAGCCCTCCATGTGGTAATTTGCACGTGCTAAATATTATAAAATCCTTTAGAGACCATTTTTAAGAGGTCCAGCTACCTCCATGGAGTGAAATATTTGAGAGGAGCAGGAAAATTATAGCTCGAATGTGTATATACACCGTGAAGAATAAACCCCAGTGGAAGGGGATAGGAGGGAACACTTAGAACAATAGGATTATTGTTATTGACAAAGTGTAAGTGACAGTAATAACAGTGAACTAGAAAAACATACTTCATTTTCAGATTGAGCCAATTCATATAAATATGTAAACCCGGTTTAAGTAATCTCTGCCCTCCCCCAGTCTAATTTTTACTTATTGTTACATATTAACTTCAGAGACTCCCCCAGCTGACAAAATGTACTGGTAAGCTTTGGAGATACGCAGGCCACAGTCATTACAGTTACAGGGAAAGACTGTGACACTAAGAGAAAAGCCTGTTGAAATGACACCTTCTCAGAGATTTGTCAGTCTTTGTCCTTTATTTTGTATTTTCCGTGGGGGACAACGGGCAAAATCTCTGTTCTTGTGACTGTGACTTTGGAAGCTCAGCTTCTATCTGTAAACTGGGGACACTGGAGCTTCCAAGCTGGAATTCTAGGATTTAGTTCCAGCCTAGGGGCTGCTGTGGGGACTGGGCACCTTCTGCTGCAGCTGCCCCCTGCTGCTGTGACCTCAGGACGAGACGCTCAGCTGCTCTGCCCCAGTCGCTGACCGGACTCTGCAGTCCTCCCAGCCATCATCTCAGAGCCTCAGACCACAGACCCCTGACACATGACCGATTTCATGGCAGCTGACCCAGCCTTGGGCCCCTCACTCAGCATGGCCGGTCTTCCCAACCAGGCTATCCTGCAGCATTGCACAGCAGGCCAGTTTTTAGTGTGTGTGTGTGGTCCAAAAAAGTACTTCCCAAACTCTGGGTTATAAAAATCTTACTTCTAGAACCTAGTCACTGGTCATTTCTATGCAAAATTTACCCTCTTCTCCCAGTGTCAGTTTTTTCCCTTGGGAAATGACACTGACTTCCAATAGTCTACACTTCCTGACTTTCTGCAAAGTGGAAATGCTCACAGAGGAGAATGTTTTTTCTCTTCCCAGCAGAGTGACTTCCACTAACACAGCAGGCCTGGCCTTGCCCTAGCTGCTCCCTCTCGCTCTGTGGATGTGAGGAGTGGTCCATCTCCTGGGAGGGGGCACAGGAGGGCTGCTTTTGCCTTCCCCCTTTTTGGAGCAAGGATGCCCATGGCGTGTACGATTCTGCTGCACTCCTCCGTGCTCCAAGTGAGAGAAATGCAAATTCTGCCCCGTGTTGAACAAGAAGGAAGAACATGGGAACATATAGGAACAGGACAAAGTTTGTGAGAGCAAAATATGCAGTAGAGAGACTCTGTGTGGAGCACTAGACAGTGGCCATATGTGTCACCTATTCGGTTCCACACCTTCTAAAAGTCAACACGGAAAAGGAGCCTTGATGACTTAGACAATTCAGTGTCCACAGATCAACTAAGAGTTGTAGAAATACAACTATCCTTATAGCTAAGAGCAGAAGGCTTTCTGCAGGGTCGTGATGAGGGAGGCATCGTATAATGTAGTGAGCAGTGCTTCACAAATATCCACACAATTAGCCCACAGGGAGCTGAGTGTCCGGCAGCTACTTCTTAGCACCTCCTTTTTATGTAGATCAAGGGTACCACCCTAGTTCCTGTAAAAACGGTTGTGATGATCTGGAGAAAGATGGAAAGGGAGAGCAGCCAGCACAGAGTTTATGCGTGCATGTCTCTGAGAGTGTGATTTCCTCCAGTTATAAGTTGAGGAATCCTGCATGCGCAAATGGACCGGATACCTGTGTATCCTTCTGGGAATCTTCAGTGAGTTTCTAATAGACACTGGGCAGTAATGAGTTTGACACTGTATACCCTAGAAAGTGCTTGGGATGTAGCTTCTCTATTTTGATAATTAAATAGAGACCCACTGAGGCTTAGTCACTCAGCTAAATCAACTGCCTGGTTGGGGATACTGATGGCTTGATGGCTTCACCTTGGGAAAGTGAAGGAGGCTCACCCTGACATGTTGGTTTAGAAATAGGCAGCTGGAGCCCTAGTTCAGGGGCGAGAACCAGGTGTGCTTAGACTGCAGGCCTCATGGATAGGACTAAAGAGGCAGGAGCCTGTGTGCAGAGGAAGGTGGACAGGATGTGGTTATGGAAGCAAATCTTACCACAGATTGCTCTTCCTTTAAAGCTTTCTTTGGAGTCTTAGCTTTCTTGGTCCCAGCAGACGATACACTCATGGATGCAGAATGTGGCCTTGAAGCTGTGGTGCTTGGTGGAGACTTGGGCCATGGGGACAAAGAGGCTTCTCTCCCCTTGGCGGACCTGGCAGCCTGTCACACAAAAAGAACCAACTTTGTTATTCTCATTTTGTTTCTTGGATTTGTGTCCCTTTTTTTCACACTCTTCCCCTCCCTTGAGCTGGAATTGCAGAGTTGAGGTTTTCAGGCCTAGACCACATGGATCTGTTTTTGCTGCCAGGTCCACAATCGCCCCTGGCAGGATCTGATCGGCAGGCTGGGCTTATTCCTCCACTCCCTGCCTGTAATCCTCATGTCCTAAGAAGAACACACCAGCAGTCAATGCCCTTTGGAAGACCCTGGAATGGTGGGGTCTATGTGAAGAGGAGTGGGGCATCAGCTCGAAGCTTATATCTAGGTGGGAAGAAGGTAGGGAAATTGAGAGTAGGAAGGAAGGTTCAGGAACGTGCAGGGCCTGGAGCTGGAGGATGAGAATAGCAGGGCACACTCTTCCTGATGTCCCACTTGCTGGCTTTTTGGCTTCTGATTTCACTGTCTGCTCCCTGTTCTCAATAGTCAGCTCCTGATCTCCCATTCACACTTCTAACCTCACTTTATTTATTTATTTTTTAAAAGAGACAAAGTCTTGCTATGTTGCCCAGGCTGGTCTGGTCTTGAACTCCTGGACTCAAGCAATCCTCCTGCCTCGGCCTCCCAAAGTACTAGGATTTTAGGAGTGAGCCACTGCTCCTGGCCTTGCTCACTTTCAAGAATTTTCTTTTTCGAATTCAGATGTTGGAAAATGAAAAACCTCAGTATGCTACACAGATTTGACAAACCAGATGCCAAAATAAGAGAAGCACAAAACAAAAGAGAAACAAGAAAGAGAGAAAACTTAAATACAAACCTTGACGCTTAAGCTGCCATACTTTTTTCTCATTTCCTTGTCCTCTTTCTGTTTATTAATCTGTAAAATGGAAGACCCATATCATTGGTTATTATCTGCAAAGGTTAAAAAGGACAATTTTCTATAAAACTTCTGTAACCAATGAAGGACATTTTAAACCATTTGTCTGCCAAAACTATTATGGGAATATAATTCATAATGTCAAAGAGAAAACAAACTTGTATCCAGAAAAAGAGCTTTTATAAAAAAGTGAACAGACATTGCAGCACTGTTTGCAATAGCAAAGACCTGGAACCAACCCAAATGCCCATCGATGATAGACTGGATAGGGAAAATGTGGCATATATACACCATGGAATATTATGCAGCCATCAAAAATGATGAGTTTGTGTCCTTTGTAGGGACATGGATGAACCTGGAAACCATCATTCTCAGCAAACTGACAGAAGAGCAGAAGATCAAACACCGCATGTTCTCACTCATAGGCTGGTGTTGAACAATGAGAACACATGGACACAGGGAGGGGAGCGCTACACACTGGGGTCAGTTGAGGGGAAATAGGGGAGGGATGGTGGGGGATGGGGAGCTGGGGAGAGATAGCAAGGGGAGAGAAGCCAGATGTAGGTGATGGGGAGGAAGGCAGCAAAGCACACTGCCATGTGTGTACCTATGCAACAATCTTGCATGTTCTTCACATGTACCCCAAAACCTAAAATGCAATAAAATAAATAAATGGGAAAAAAAAAGTAAACAGAAATATATAAAATTGCAAATACCTAAAGTCATTAGCATCTATTCATTGCATTAAGTACAACAAAGATAATAGGAAAACATGCATTATTTGCTTATGAGGTGATAATTTGATACATTATTATAATAGCTGTAAATACTAGGTCTTATTATTAACATAAGCTAGCTTGAGAAATTGAAGATAATTTAATAGCTGAACTTCAATAATGTACTGAACAAAATTTTACTTTAAAAATCAATTTTAAAGCCGGGTGCAGTGGCTTACGCCTGTAATACTAACACTTTGGGAGGCCAAAGTGGGAGGATTGCTTGAAGCCAGGCATTCAAGACAAGCCTGAGCAACATAACAAGACCCCTATCTCTATAAAAAATAAAAAAATATTGGGCCTGAGATTGTGACTTTTTTTAAAAAAATAAATAAGTAAATAAAAATAAAAACAAAAAAATAAAAATTACTTGGGTGTAGTGGTGTGTACCTATAGTCCCAGCTACTTACGTAGCTGAGGCAGGAGAATCACTTGAGCCCAGGAGTTTGAAATTACAGTGAGCTATGACTGTGCCACTGCACCAACCTAGGCAACAGGGTGATACCCTGGCTTTAGAAAAAAAAAATCAATTTTAATTTCTAGGCATAGAAGTTATTGTATCAAAAAATGTATTATTAGTGCATGTTTCCATAATATTAAAATTTTTTCATAATATGAAATTTTGAGTAATGCCAGTGATTCTAATTACAACTAATCCCACTTGAAGTTAAATAATGATGAGAAACACATCTAACCATTAATCCCATTGACATCTGAACAACAAGTACAACTGATTTGCAAAATTCTCTGTCACCTATCAATAAAGCAGAACTCAAGAGCAAGCAGGGCTGTCTAGTGACATCTTGCAGTCTGAGAGAATAGTTACTGTTGCCCATGAAGAGCTATGTTTAGTTGGTTTCAATGGGTTTGAATTCAAGCCTAACACAGTCATGATTGGCTTAACACTGGGGATACATCCTGAGAAATGTGTCATTAGGCAGTTTTATTATGTGCAAACATTAGAGTGTACTTACACAAATATAGGTGTACAGCCCACTACACACCTAGACTTTAGGGCATAGCCTATCGTTCCTAGGCCACAAAGCTGCAAGGCATGTTACTGTACTAGATACTGCAGGCAACTATAACACAGTGGTAGGTATTTGTGTATCTAAACACATTCAAACATAGGAAAGTTACAGCAGAAATATTGTATCATAATCTTATTGGACTACCATTGTATATGTAGTTTGGTGTTGACCAAAATGTCATTGGGCAATGCGTGGCTGTATTAAAGTTAAGCTTTGTTGCAATGGTTTAAAAATCATTTTCTTCATACTACTATAAGAATTTCTAGGGTACGCTTGTTGATTTCAACAACAACAAAAAACCCTTCTGGAATTTTGATTAGGATTGTTGAATCTGTAAATCAATCTGGAGAGAACTGACAGTTTAATAATATGCAACTCCTGAATCATGAACAATGGAATATTTTTGCATCTATTTAAGTCTTTAATTTATTTCAGCAGTATTTTATATTATTGGCTGTACATGTTTTGCACATATTTTATCATGCATATCCATAAGCATTTCATATTGTTTGATGTTATTATATCTGGTGTTTTTTAAAATTTCAATTTTTGATTGTTCACTGCTTATATACAGAAGTACAAGATTTTTGTATCTTGATTTTTGCAACCTTTCTGCATTCACTTATTAATTCTAGTAGCTTTTTTTTAGATTTGTTAGGATTTCCTATAGAGATGATCACGCCATCTGGGAATTTAAAAAGTTCTACCTTTTCCTTTCCAATCTGGATATTATTTATTTTTGTGTATCTGCATCATTGCACTGGTTAGGACCTAAATTAGATGTTGAACGGAGGTGTTAAGAGCAGAAATTCTTGTCATATTTCTGACTTCAGACTCAAAATCTTCATCCTTTCACCATCAACCATGATAATAGTGTGTTTTGAAGATACCTCTTAACAGCTTGAGAGGTTCTCTTCTATTCCCAGTTTGCTGAGAGTATTTTTTTAAAACATGAATGGAAACTGGAGTCTCTTAAATGCTTTTTCATCATCTACCTGCCTTCTGGCTCCATTATTTTATATTCTTCCTATAAACGAAATATATTTATCTTCACTCAAAGCCTTCGAAAATCTCATCCTACTATAGCATCAGCTTGAAATCTGGAATCTCATTATCTAAATCAGGTCCAGGTGCAGATGAGGCCCTTGAGTACAATCGCTCTTGATCTGAAGATCCAGAAAGTAAAGAGACCAGTTATCTGTTCCCACACAGCCAATGTTCCATGGTGGGAGAGACCCCACTCCATTCAAGGGAAGGAGGCATACAGCAGTAACTGGTCCATAGAGATTTTGAAATCCAGTGAGGCATATGTTGCCAGTTCCCTGACTAGGCCCAACTCCTGCTCCACTCTTGGAGACAAACTACCACACACGCTAAATATTGTTGGAAAAGTCGAATTTCTGAAGTCCATGTAGTTGTTTTTACTCTACATTGTTTCTGACATGTGGTTCCTTATTTCCTTGTGTGCTTCCTTATCTTTGACCGTGTGATATTAATTGCTCCTATAATTGTAGGAGAGAATTCTGGGAATTCTCTGAGACTTAGGATTAAAGTACTTCTTTCCAGGGAGTATTTCCATTTGCTTCTTTCAGCAATTAATAATTAATAATTTCAGTAAATGGAAATTATCTTCTATTCACTTAAAACTAAACTGATGCCATGTGCGGTGGCATGAAGTCCCAGCTACTTGAGAGGCTGAGGTGGGCGGATTACTTGAGCGCAGGAGTTTGAGACCAGCTTATGCGACATATCAAGATCCCATCTCTTAAAAACAAACTAAAGTGAGGGTTTGAGGTTTTGTGGATACAAACTTGTGTTGCAAATCCCCTGAAAGTCCTGCCTATCAAAACGCTTCAGAAAGAGATTATCCCTCTTGTGTTGCTCAGTACAGAGGCAACCCTCCCCTGCAGGCCTCTGGGTATTAGGTAGGTTGCAGGTTTACATTTGGTCACATTCATCCTGCAAGAATGACCTTTGCTTCTCAGCCTAATGCAAGAGATCACTGCTGATTACCACAACACACACACATACTCTCTCTCTCTTTCTCTCTCTCTCTCTCTCTCTAGCATGCCCTGGCCTGTGACTTCTGTGTAGTGCAGATGGGTAAATCCCTCAGGACAATCTTAACTTGGAAAGCTCAACTGACCCCTGTATGTTTCCCTTGATGTTTGACTTCTGACCAGGTAAGCCCCATGTCCCTGGTCATTTTTTAACGCTTTTACAAAGATGTTTGTAATACTGTATCTAAAATTTTTTGAGGTTTTAAAAAATTTGGGGCAGGAGTCAGTTTGAATGCTAGCTCACTTGATAATTTTTCCCAGTAATCAATATCAGCATGGTTAATATTTAAAAGTTTGAGCCCTTTTCCCCAGAGTTTCAATTTTGCCTCAGAATTCTCTCTCAATACATTGGAGCTGATACATGAACTTATGTTTCTTTGGAATCCCTGGACTAACAGAAGAAGTTTCCAGGTTTCTTCCCATTAGGGTGATTAACCATCCTGTTTTTTTTTCAGGACTGGGGGGTTTCTCAGGATGTAGGGCTTTCAGTGCTAAGAATGAAAACCAGGATGAGCTGGTCACCCTATCCCGTCATGATCAATGCTTTTTACCACTAAGTGTAGGTGTGAAAAATCTGCTCCTCTTCTCTCTAAGGAGGGAAGGAACCGTTACACACTGCTAGTGGGAGCAGACAACCCATGACCCAATGGCTCATTCCTCACTCTGTTGCTTGGTCAGTGAGATGGCTTGGGGGGATGAAGGGAGCCTCTGGAAGACCTGCACGACTCCCGCTGATGTAGATAGTATTGATGCCACCTTCTCTAGCTCAGCACTGGGTGCTCCCCTTTTAGAAAGACAATTCCCTGGCCAGGAAGCTCCCACTGTCATATAGTGTGCTAGATGGCAAACTTCCCTATAAATATATGAAGTGGTGTGTAGGGGGGATCCCTGTCCCGCAGCAATTCCTGTGATTCATCTTACTGAAGCCCTCCTCTTGGTGGGCTAATAAAAAACCAAAGGCGTGTTTCCTGTCCGTTAATTCTCTTCTTGTAAGTTTTTAATCAATAAACTTTATACCTACATCACATGTTCTAGAGGTATGTATGCCTGTACCTTTGCATTCCACCTAAGAATATAACAGCGCAACATTAGATATTGCCCACGGTAAGCACTTGGCCTAATCACCACATTGA